CGAGCTCATCGACGCCTACCAGCCCCCCGTTATAAAGAGAACAAGGCCGTGGCCTTGACCTGCTACCAGGCGCACGCCTACTTCAACAAGTCGGCCCGGCGGTCTCGCACTGCGACGACACGCCGCGGAACGAGGGCCTCTTGGGTGCTGGGGGCGGTGAGGGCGGTGAGGGGGGGTGGGTGGTGGAGGCGGTGTGGGTGGTCTCAAGCTGGTGGGGGCGGCGAGGGTGGTGGGGGTGGTCACGCCGGCGTGGGTGGTGGGGGGCGGGGTGTGGTGGTGGAGGCGGTGTGGGTGGCCGCAAGCTGGTGGGGGCGGCGAGGGTGGTGGGGTGAGGGCGGTGAGGGTGCGGGAGGGTCTGGGCACCTTTAAATACTTTCTAAGCAAGAACCGTGGGGGTGGTGAGGGCGGTGTGGGTGGTGGGGGCGGTGAGAACGGTGAGGGCGCGGGGGGGTCAGGGCACGCAAGCTGGTGGGGGCGGTGTGGCCGCAAGCTGGTGGGGGCGGTGAGGGTGGTGGGGGTGGTGGGCACGCATTGGCAGCATTTAAACACTTTCTAAGCAGCGAAGAAAGTGGAGGAGTGCTAGGAACCGTGTGAGTTGGGAGGGCAGCAGAGTGGTGGGGACGGTGAAGGTGGCGGGGGCGGTCAAGGCGGTGGGAGGGGGGCGGTGTGGGTGGTGGAGGCGGTGTGGGTGGCCAGGGCGGTGTGCGGTGAGAACGGTGAGGGCGTGGGGTTCCGGGCACACAAGCTGGTGGGGGCGGTGTGGGTGGCCGCAAGCTGGTGGGGGCGGTGGTGAGGGCGGAGGGCGCGGGGGGGGGTGTGGTGTGGGTGGCCGCAAGCTGCGGTGTGGCACGGGGCTGTGGGTGGTGGAGGCGGTGTGGGTGGCCGCAAGATTTCTAAACACCTGAAAGTGGAGGAATGCTAGGGACGGTGGGGAGCAGGGGGCAGCAACCGGTGGAGGTGGTGTGGGTGTTGGAGGCGGTGTGGGTGGCCGCAAACTGGTGGGGGCGGTGAGGGTGGGGGCGGTGAGGAACTGGTGGGGGGTGGGGGTGGTGACGAACAAAATTCTCGGGATATCACTGGCGCCGCCCACCGGGGGTCGGCGGATACTGATTTGTACTTCAAGACCTAAGCCTGAAAAGATATAGTATCCAAAGATTTCACCGTTGGACATGGCATAGTTTGCGTAGTTTAAGAAGCATGGTAAAAATGAATCAGAAGCATGTTTAGGAAACACAATAGGGCTTGTACTACCAGGACTCTAAAAAGTTTTGTGACACGGGATGAACTGATTCCCGAACGGTATTTGGTTAACATAGCGAGATTTTAACATATGAAGGCCTGCGCATTCCGTATTTTATGGGTGTGATGTTGTGCCTGACAGCCGGCTGACCTGCCGCCCCGACCGCTTGTTTGGTGCTTTTTCACGTTGCAGCCTTCTCTGCTTTGCTCTGCCATGGCGTGTTCCTCGAGTGTTGGATGCCTTTTGCTTTCAGCTTTTGCTGCGGGTGTTTCTCAAGTGTTTGTGTTAATTTTGCTTGCTTTTTGTTTGTTTCCGGTCCAAAACTCGGGCTTTTGCTGTTTTCTGTCAGGAATTTTGCTGAAACTGCCGTTTGCGCTTGGTTTTGCTGAATTTTATGCTAGCTGTTTCTGATGCCTTCGTTGTTGACTCGTTCGGTCTTGACCAACTTTCTCTGCTTTGATATAATCCGTTCTACAACAGAAGGTTCATGGCCCAACCGCGGCCTAGACATGATGACGTCCATGCTCTAATCCGTTCTGAGAACAGAGCATCCAGGCCACAAGCATTTAATCCGTGCTGCCGTTGACATCGCCGGCACCCACGCCCTACACCAGTGAGTAGCAATACTATGCATCCTTTGCTTCCACCTTCTCGCTTCCCAATTCCTAAGCCGGTGCCTCCTACAACCAGCCCAAAACTGCAAGCCAGCGCATCACCACCAACACTTGTAACCTATCTTCATCAAGCTATCAAGCTTGTCATGACACCTGCGCTCTCTGCACTTTTGAAATGTAAAATCACGAGGGTGGCAAGTCAGCTGTCTTGTGTTTCGAACCATTGTGATGTACAAGTGATGTACAGTTTGTAAACGAAGCTGCGTTGAATGGGAAGTTTGGCCTGATCAACCACCTGTACCTGCATAATGAGATGTGACACCTCCATTCGCTGCGCACGATTCGGTTTTAGTCTTCAAAATCGCTCTTGGAGACACAAAAGTACAAATTGCAACATCCTGGTCCGCATCGCCAGCGTAATTCACTGGTCGTAGTATAATCAATCTTCCACGCAACACTGCAGCATTCATTATGCCCACGTGGCATTACATGCAATCGCATGACGACGAAGATGGTTGCTTCGCATTGATGGCCTTCGACTAGAAGTGAAGGGCAAGGACATGCAAGGACAGATAATTGACAACGAGAGCAATATGAGACGAAAAGAGAGACGCTCTACATCTTGATTCAGTCAAAATAGAGTGCGTACATGTGTGCACCTTGGTGAACTTTGGCTCGCCGTCTCTGCTAGCGCATCTACTCATCTAGTCAAATTTAACGTGAAGAAAATGTGTGGATGTGAACTCCAGCATCTTGAACAATGAAACTTCATTACATACCTTCCGTCGACGTTCCACCACACACGTTCCCGAGTCAACACAAACTAAACCGATCTCGACATCAAAAGAGGTCACGTAGCAGCTTTGTTCAAGGGCCACTATTAACTTTCAGATATTGTGTTGAAATGTTCGTTGTCTGCGAGGCGGCTCGGTCTTGGAGCTGTCGCAACAGCTTTCCTCTTCTTACTGCTCTCGGTTTCCATGTTCGCGCAGGTGACACGCGGCCCGCGGCGTGACTCAGAGGATCGGTCGAGAGGACTCTTAACTTTCACAGGGTCAAGTCCCGCTTGAAGGCGTCGGCGACGAGCCTACGCTAATCGTGCCCGGAGCCATGGAAGAAGGTCCATTAGCACGGCTGAGTGGGTCAGGCAAGAAGGATGAAGAAGGTGCAGTTCCTGCACCTAGCGAGACAACTTCTTGGAGCCAGCAAGTCCTACCATGTGAAGATGTGTGGGTTCACTGAGGTCTGCGGCAGTGGTCGCCGGCCTGGCCTCAAGCCCCATTCTGTGACAGTCCCTCAAACGTTCGTTCTGCATCGTCGAGGGCAACTCAATCCTTTGCTGTTCTCTTTATTTGAGGGACCGTCTCAACGAACGAAGAAGCCGCAGTTCGTGTGTAGGATAGTCGATAGCTCCAAGGGTCAGCAAGTGGACACCGAGCGCATGTTATCCTTTGGTGGATATACCAGTCACCTCAACTTTGGATGTTCGATCCCGATGTGGTTGGTGGTGACAAACAATTTGAATCGTTCTTGGATCAGACTTCGGTGCTAGCATCATTCTAGCAGGCACCCGCTGTGTCATTCTGTAAGGCATGCACTCCTTTAGCAGAAGTGTCGTTGCCGACCCGACCTGTAACATCCACATTCATGCTGCTTTGATGGAGCTACGGAAATAAGTTTCTTCAACTTTTGCTCCAGAGTATCTTTTCCTCTTGCTGCAACGGGTCCCCTGCTGAAAACTAGTGCCTTGTAACTGTGGAAAAGCAACCGTATCTCCAAGAAGCTTGCGTTTCACTGGATTGCACGGCTCTGAACAAGCAGACGACCATGCAACCAAAGTTTTCGTGCCGCACAGGCATTGGGCATTCTGGTAGATCTGCGAACTTGGACTCTCCACTGTGTTAACCATAGTGTAATGCCCAATCGCCGTCTTGTGTAGCGTAGTCGAAGTTTGTGAGCCTGACAATCCGGACCGTGTTGGTTCATGCATGAGACGAGCCAGCCTGCTTGTGCGGAACGAGGTTGTCTCACCTGAACTTGAGCAGTGGCAGTGGCCAGATACCTCTGATATCCTCTGATCATTTGGACAGTTCCACAGAACGGACCCACGCCATTGACTCTACATCGAGTGCAAGGCCTGACCAGAAGGGGAGCAGCTCGAGGAAGCCATCAAAAGCCGCCCGAAGTTTTCGGAACATGACGTTGTCAGACCGCTCAGAACGGGAGGGGAGAGGGGGTAGGCCAGAGGCATATGCGGGCAAGAAGTTGCAGTTGCTCCGATTACTGAGTTTTGTCCCGAACTACTCGAATAGAGTACAAGATCAGGAAAGACAAGCCGAGCTTCTTCACGGTGTTGATTGGGTTCGTTTTCCCAACAGCTTTGCAGGAATCCGCTGGGTGATTTCCAGCAGCGAGTCTATGAGGTTCGGACCATATTGGTGCAGATGTGAAGTGTTGCGCTCTGGAGCCAGGTGGGCTTGGTTTGTCTTGCGAGTGGTATCGTCATCAACTTCCTGCCGCAAACCTGGCACACGAAGAGCACCATTCTTCATTCCTGCGTATTGGCTCTGCTGTGCAATGTGCAAATCGTCCCTTTGCTCTGTGTTTGTTTTGTTGAGCTTTTTTCGACGGGAGATGCAGCCGAGGGCCGTGCACTTCTGGTTCCGTCGCAAATTTCTGGTCTCGATGCCCTGGTATGAGCGCTGGCCTCTGTCGCTGTCGGTTTCTATCTAGAAATGTTGTCCTGTTATGAGCGCTGATGAGTAGAGGCACAGTTTGGAGAGCCGAGGTATCACAAGCATGGCCTCGGCCTGCACGTGATTTTCCTTCTGATGCCGCCTCCTCGGCCAGCAGTCCGCAGGTTTCCCTTCGTCTTTTGGGCTGCTGATGCGAGTCATGTGATCATATCGACGGCAGCATGCCGGAGACATGAATGAGCATGCATGCATGCCTCGTGCTGCAGCCACTGGCAGGTATGCAAATCCGCAAGCGTGCTTTCTCTTCACCTGCAGGCAGGGCGGTTGTTACTACTTGTTGATGCCATGCATCAACTGTGCTTGTGTAGTAACTCTGTTACTGTCGAGGCTTTGGGATGATCTTTTTTACTCTCGCCTTAGTTTGTTGGTGTGTTCAAGACGGTCGCATTTTTTCATTGCCTGCCAGCTACGACTAGCTCGATTCAGATCAAGGCCGCCAGGCGAATGAAGTGCGAATGGCCAGTGGCAACTGGTCCATAAGCTGGACCTGAAGCTTGGTGGGCAGGCAGCAATTGGGCTCCACCACTGGCGATTGAAGGAGAACTGTCGATGGTCGTGAAATAGCTAACCGCGGCCAAGTCCCAGTATTTTGTGATCGTCACAATCTGAGATGCATAGTGACCCAGGTTCGGCACGAGGTGAACCCTTGAACAAAGCTGACTCTGAGCTTCGAGCCTGACATAGGCTTTTCGACGTCGACCTCTTCAATATACATTTTGGAACGCCAAGCAAGATGAACGAGGCAGAGGGGAGAGTTTCCCGGCCAGCTCATGCTTCACTGTGCTTCGCTGATCTTGATCACGGTGTTTGGTAGTTTTCTGCAGCATTCTGCTCAACAGTTCAGGGCTCATGGTCTAAGCCCATCAAACAAGCTCACTGGCGAAGCTTTGAGCGATGTCAAGCGTCTCCAAATGAGTACACACTACTTCGTGGCTTCGGGTCGAGCCCAAAACTGATGGTCCGGGTGTTGGCTGGGATTTGTGCAGGCAAGCCAAAGCCTGTTTCGATTTTTTGAAGTCTCCTTTGCACACAGATCCCTAACATTATTGTGGCAACACGTGGAGCAATCAGCATGTTGTAAGTGCCTTTCTTCTCGTTCTTTGTGCTGTGCCTTTCTCTTGCACCAGGTCTTGTCCCGAATTGGCTGCCTGTCCTTGCTGAGCGACACGCCACTGCTCGTCCTGTGCTGCAGCCTGTTTGTAGAAATGCGGAGCACTCAAAGCGCCTTGACCCAAAAAGCCACTAGAGCTGCTTAAGCCGCCAGGAAAGCACTCGTCTACTTTCTGGATTCTACTGGAATTCAGGCCCCGAAGGCAGCGCGCCGCTTTTGGGAGTTGTTGCCGCGTTCGGGGCTGAGCCGAGCCAGAGGTCACCCGGGTTTCGATGGGCGTCACGGTGATCCACCTGGCACTGGCTCCGAGCTCGAAGCATTCGAAGCATTCGAAGCTCACATGGCGCAGCACTGGGTTTAGGGGCAGGGCATGTGGGAGCATCTTTTTTTGCACTCGGTGGATGAATTGGAGCGATCTTGTGCAAGCCTCGACTGCTGCAAGCTTGAGTCTCGCTAGCGCCTTGCACCTGAGGGCTTTGGCTTGGAAAGTCTTGAGCAAAACTAAGAATTCAAAGAAGCGAATGCGACAGGCCGGTCCCACAAGGGGAGTGAGTCAGGAGTTGCCAAGAACCTGAAACACACGCCATGGACCGCCATGGAGATCCATCCTCAGGCCAGCAGCTGATGCTTTCCCCATGTGTGCTAGGCTAAGATGGCCAAGAGCCCGTCTTACCGGCTTCATATACGAGTTTGGGCTCGAAGGCAATGGTCTTCCGGATGCAGAACTGGGCTGTGAGGAAGCGGGCTCGTCCGAAACGCCCTTGCTGTGCTTGTTTCGTTTCCAGCTAAGCCTCGCTGCTTCTGGGGTAAGGTCCGGGAGGCAGAGCTTTGCATGTCTTGCCCCCACGAAGCTGAACCTCCAATTGGACAGGAGCCGCTCGAGGAATTCTTTGATGCCCTGCAAGAGAACGTGGAGCGGGCGACGCTGGAGACCTGCCAAAGCAGTGGGTCTACGCTTCTGGGCAGGAATCTGATCGGATTCAGTACATGCGGAGCCGACCAGAAGTGGACATTGACATCAAGGGGTGCAGAAGCTGGGCTTTGCCTTCATTGGTGTTGTTGCCCACAAGCTGTTCACTTGCCCCCATTTGGATTTAAAGGGTTTGGGGTTCGGGGTTCTCCCTGTGCCACACTAGATCGGCTCCGGCTTAGCAGAAGCTTCAGGCATCTTCAGGCCGAAAGCCCCGATGCCAAACTCTATGCGACATCACATGCGCATGACCCGCAGCGAGCAGTCAGTTTCAGCCTGAAGCCCTTTCAACAAGAGCCTGCGTGGATGTTCGCCAAAAGTTCTGCAAACATCATAGATGAGAGACACGCTGTCGGAACAGAAACTGACCCACCCCTCGGGTCGATTCTATCTTGACAGAGGCCTCTCATCCCAAATCCTCGGAATCGTGATCCTTGCCAAATGTTGGAGTACGTGTGGCAAGTCCGTAAACACAAAGGTTCAAGCACGGCTTTGTTAACTCCGGCGAACAGGGAAGTGGTGCTTTGTGGTTCCGCCCAATCGCACCTAGCTTGCGCATGTGTGGCCGAAGAGCCATGCCAAAATCTGCAGTACCATCTGGCCATAGATCGGAACTCTTGGGTTTTCTGCCGTTGTGGAAGGTTCGTGACGCCAGTCCTGCGACCGCGCCCAGGCACCTGTTTTGGAGAGCACATGCCGCCGACGCAAACACCTGCCTTCTCCAGGCCCCTTGCCGTCTGCGCCGTCGATCCTAAGCTCTTTTTCGCGGAATTCGTCATGCTCGTCTGTGTATCACGTGGCTCTGCTGTGGTTAGAGCGACAGTGTTGACTCGGCGAGCTCACGAACTGTGCGAGCTGAGGATGCTTTGTCCGAGTGGGAGTTGGACGCGCCAGTGAAGGCGCAGCTTGCTCATCCCACTGGATGGGGCCGAGTGGTGCAGCCGGTGATCCTCTGCAAGGACTTCTTTAGGTTCCGCATTTTGCGGTCCGGAAGTGGTACTTGGTGTTTATACAGTCAGCCCCCGCGAAGGAACCGTTGAGCGTGCTGCCGCCCGCCGCGAAGTTAGGCACAAGTCGGATAAGTCACTCTGGACAGGTGGGCCTCGTCAGTACTCCATGTGCTAGGAGGTTAGCCGTCACCGCCTCTGTTCTGTTCGAAGTTGAGCTGAGGCTCTCGTTCCTGAGCGTGGGTTTCTGCCTCTGCCACGGCGACTGGCATCGAGGGCAACGGGAAGCAGAGCGACTTCCGATCCTGTACTCTGGCGAGAATGCGAGACGGAGGACCAGGAAGGAGTTGTCCGCCCAGCGTGCAGTGCAGCTCAGGTCGATCGCCTGCTTCTTGGGTGCCTTCGCTGCTTCCTTCCTTCCGCCACGCCTGCGGCCGGGTGCCCGGGAGGAGAGAGAGAGAGAGAGAGCGCAGCCATTTTGGCTCAAGTACTACACCTGTGCTTGGGGGCCTGTGCCGCCGTACGGGGGGGAGGACGGAGAGTTAACTCGAGGTTGTGCCCTCGGGGGAGCTTTTCCGTTCGACCCAGTGGTGCTTGAGCTTCACTTTTTCGTTGCGGAACCCTTGGTGATCATCCTGGCTTCGTGGGGGAGATCCATGGCAAGCTCAAGCAGCCTCAGTGGAGGCAGAGAAGGGGGGGAGAACAGGCCCCTCAGTGCTAAGCCGCCGAAGGTGAAAACCACCTGGGAAGAACAACTGAGGCTAGCCGAGCGACTGCGAGAGATCGGGGTGACATGCAAAACATGTCTGCATGGACCGTGGTACCACAAACCCCATGATGGGGGAGATGGCTGTTATAAGCACATGATATCCGCAGGCAGAGTCAGCAGCCCCTGGAGTGTTGCGGAGTTGCGTAAAAGGGGGGAAGCGTCGACGGCTCAAGCTACCGAACCTGTGGCCGCGGGGGACTATACCACTGGCAAGACTTCCAAGAGACCTTTGTCCGAGTATGTTCGGTTTGAGACAAAGGAGGGGATGGCGCTCCTTTTCCACCCAAGCCCACTGGATAAGTGGACTGGGAAGCACTATAAGTGGGACAGCAAGCACCAGCACCATGTTGACCCCAGTACCGGGGGGACTTTGTCGCCAGAGGAGAGTGAGGACTACCGCCGCTACCTTCAACGATATAAGGAGAGGAGGCAAACGGGGGACCAGGCTGATAAACTGGTTAAGTTGGTTGGCAAATGCAACCCGGCGATGGAGGATGAGCTCAGAATCTACATCGGGCGATTCCCGGGGGAGATTCGCAACTTGCTTGCCCGCGGAAGGCAAGTTTACAGAGAAGTCCTGGCGAACCAGCGGCACGGGGAACCCAGGACACCCGGACTGCCGAGCTGTGCCACGACAAGAAGAGCAAGGCCGAGAAGGTCAAGACCAAGAAGGAGCACAAAAGCAAGAAGGAGAAGAAGAAGGAGGGGAAAAAGAAGCAAAAGAAGCCAGCAAAGGAGAGCAAGCACCACACTGCGGATGAGGGACTCCAGTGACAGCCAGAAGCCCGAGGACGCGCAACACCGTGCCATGGCTAACCCAAGCCCTCAAGAGAAGGATATGGGGGACCACCACCAGAGCCACAAGATCGTGGACGTGCAGTACCATGCCGCAGCTAGCTCAACCCCTGACGAAGTAGATTGGGGGGATGAGGAGGACGAGACCGAGCCGCACACCGAGCAAAATACAGCCACTAACTCCGGGGGAAGCGACAGTGACACCGAGTTCACTCCCACTGTGGCACCGGGAGAACTTGCTCACCTCGCACACCCGACTTTGAATCCCTCAGCTGATGACTTGGTCCCCGCCTTAGTATTCTTTATGCTTCTACTGCATTGTTGATGGCCTTGTTTTCTCTACTCAGCTGGGGGATTCTTTCTGCTTCAGCGGCCATACGCTGTAAAGCCGAGCCTGGGGGGGGGGCAAACCCCCACCAGGATATTACACAACCTGCCATGGACCGCAGGGGCGCGCTCGCGCGCAGGGTGTGGGGTCGGACCGCCCTGCACCTCTTACCTGGTAGAGAGAGAGAGAGAGAGAGAGAGAGAGAGTAGCCATTTTGGCTCAAGCCATTTTGGCTCAAGGCCCCTGGGGTTTTGAGCTTCCTCTTGAACCTGACCGCAGCCCCCTTCGGGGGTGGCGTGCCAGTAGGGGGATAGAGCATACTTTGACCTCTTGGTTCCCAACGAGAACCCGCTCTACTACCACATCGTGATCTTCTTGATCTATGTCGAGCTCCCGAGACCCCCCAGCCGCACCAACGGGGGAAGAGGCGAACCAGCCTGGAAGAGGGGGACGAGCGGCCCCACCCGTGAAGAAGGGGAAAGGAGTTTGTCGCCTCTGTCGTGAAGCAGATGGCGTTTGTACCTTTGGCTTCCGCAAAACACACGAACGCAGCGACCCACACTGCAGGTTGCATGGAGTCGTGGGTGGGGGACACAGCCCTACCCGTACAAAGAGAACACGGGGCCAGGGGGAACGACCTGACCAAGGACGTGCAGATCGAGCACCGATGCCCGCTGCAGTGAGCGACCCCCCTCGCGGGGGAGGACCACGAGGTCGGCGGAAGCATGCTAGAAGCCGGGGGGACCGAAAGTGGACGGGTCCCAAAATGCGAGCAAGACTTCGTGAGCTCCTCAAGGTTGAAGTGGTGTGGGGACGCAGGCCTCTTCGCTGGTCCCCGACAAAAAAGCGACACTACGACCAGGCACTCGCGCGTCACCACACCGACGCGGAGGAGCAGCAACTACAGGGGGAACATGCCGATCGAGTTCAAAGCAAACTGCTCTACAGGAAGGCGCTCGAAGTTTTCCGTTTCTTGAGAACGTTTGGGGGGAAACCCGTCAAGTTCCTGCAGCAAGTCGCCAAAGACACCAGGTGGATTGAGAAGGTCCATACTGCTTGTCGCGAGTAGTGGGGGGACCAGCCACCAGTGGGTGGAGGCTCCGAGGACTATTCGGAGGAGATTGTTGAGCTTTCTACACCCGAATGGCTCAACACAGAAGAGGGGGAACAGTCACCTTACACACCCCCGAGTGCCGACAGACCCCAAGACGATGCCGGGAACTTACTGGGCCACTCTACACAGGAGGGGGAGCGAGCACCTGTTGCGCCTCCCTCACCAACCTCTGTGGCAAGGGGGACAACAGACACAGACGAGAGTGAGCAAAGGCTGGGGGGCAAATCCTCGTTACACCAGAGTGGCCATGGGAGGACGAGACACCTCCACTGCTTCGCCGTCGTGCTCAACAAGAAGCCCCCACAACTACACAGGGGGAGGCCCTTTCCTCGCACCCCCGTGTTTATGGGGGAAGGGTCAAAGAGGCTTGGAAGATCCAAAGCAAGTTGGCTTACAGAGCCCAGCGTCGACTCCGCCGACAAGAAGGAACGTGGGAAGGATAAAGGTACAGCCAGCAGCAGCGGGAAACGCTGACACTTCTGTGGGAGATGATGAACTGAGTCGAGTGAGTGCGTGAAAATTCGTGCGGAGAGATGCGGGGGACGTTCAGCTTTTTCGGTTTCAGGGGTTTTTGCTTGCTTGCGTTCTCACATTGGGGGATTTCGGACAGTCCGCCGCGCCTCTGGTTGAACACATGCATGCCTTAACACTTTGTGATTTAGGGGGGAACCTGTATCCTAGAACTTTTGCTTAGCCGAACAGTGCTCCTGCCAGTTTTGCTGCCGACTTGCAGCACCTGGTGCCTGGAACCTTTCTAGGCTAGCTGCCGACTAGCAGCACCTGGAAACCAAAGAATTTTTTAAATACTGATCCGAACGCCTGCCTTTAGCGTAGTAATTCAATGCATTCTTTTCCTACCGCCTGCCGCCTGTATTCATAAATTCATTTGCAACAACAGTCCTGGGGGACCCCCCCCCCCGAATAAGTACTCGTCTTTTCGATCGGCCCTACCTCTTCCAGACAGGGGGAAGTTTTTGTTTTGATAGCCTTCTCGTTGTTTGTGTTCTCCCCCCATGTTTCCTGAATCCACCCCTCGACCTGGACTTGTAAATCGGGGGCGATTTGTAAGGATTCGAGGAACAACACGGAAAAGGACCGATGTAGTTTCAGCCTGATTACATAGGTCAGTGAGATCGTACGTTTGTCATCGCTCTTTCATCCTACATGTTATGGTCTTAGCCTTTTGACAAACTACGATCGCTCCTCACTCCCCGAAAGCTCCAACACAACGTTGGGGAGGGCATTTTTGCCCGGGGACTTTGACCGGTCCCCATGCCCTGGAGAGAGAGAGAGAGAGAGAGAGAGAGCGTAGCCATCTCCAGGCACTGGAGGAGATCGAGGAGCTGATGCAGCAGACAGGGGGAAATCCAAGTGGGGGAATGCCTTCGACAATGCAAGCCATCGGGGGCAGCCCCCGACACGCCAGCCATGGGGACTGGAACGACACCACGGCCTGGGGAATGCCCCGGGAACAGATCGCCGGAGCCCCACTGAGGCCATGGACAGCGACAACAGCGGTGCTTCCCATCGCCGACGACGTACGTTGGCAGCTCACACAGGGGAAGCACCATGAACCAGGGGAACCGCGCGATCCTAGAGGGGGACCCATGGTCCACAGGCCGTGCCCATCCCCTACACGATTCTCAGCGCCGGGGCCTACAAAGTGAGTAAACTTGCAGTGAGGCAGCAAAGTGAGCGGTTTTTGCGACCGGGGGAACACAAGCGAGATGGGTCTTGAATGGTTGGTGGTTTTTGGGGGATTGCCTTCAGGTAGCTGTTCCTCCGAAGAGATTCTTATTCGTGAGCCTCCGAACCGTGCAAGCCAGATACTCCCTTCAGACAAGACTTAGATTTGTTTGTTGAGCCCCCTGCTTGCATCCTTAGGTCCTATCACCCGAATCGGAAGGGAGAAACTGGGGGAATTTTCCACAGATGATTGCTGATTCCCTCTCGAGCCAAGTCACTACACACGCTAGGTCCTTAGGCCGTTTAGGTAGCTTTGTGTCCTTGCTTGATTCCGGGTGAAGAGGGAACCACATGTAGTACTACCTTGCCGTGAAGCTTTGCAGACACCGGGGACAACCCTCTTTACCTAAATGTTCTACGTGTTGTTCTATACACCAGGGGGGTCCCATAATCTACACTTTTGCACAACTCAGTCATGATGACCACTTGTGGGAGGAGCAATGCCTTCTCCTGCCAGACAGCCGTCTCCCCCCAAAATACTTGATACAACACACACTAGTCCTTTAGGTCCAACATAGCATCGCTGTGCCATTGCTTCATACCAAAAAAAGGGGGAGCAAGCGCAATGCCAGCTATGCGACTTTAGCCGACCGATTCGGCCGACCACATTGTTGGGGGAGAGTCCCCAAGATCACAGGCCCCAGAGCCCAATACTTCCTTAGGTCCGTCGTTGTAATAGATTTCTGCACAACATGGTCACGATACTTGCCTGAAACGGGGGGACATTACCCTCTTCCAGCAGAAAGCTGTCCTTACCTCGAACATTTGGTCCTACACATGCTAGTCCTTTAGGTCATCTAGATATTGCTGTGCCTTTGTTTATATGACAGAGGGGAAGGACAGTTTGTGTACCACGAGCTTTCGGGCTACTGCCTGTGTCGAGAACGCACAACAGCAGAAAACCTTTAAAGATTTCCGGCAGAAAACTGTCCTTACCCCAAACATTTGGTTCTACGCATGCTAGTCCATTAGGTCACCTATACATTGCTCTGCCATTGTTCTCATATAACGGGGGAAAAGACAGTTCGTGTACCACGAGCCTTTGAGCTGCTCACGCACAACGGCCGAAAACCTTTAAAGATTCCTAGCCCCCATTTGAACAATTTATGCGACATATGCTGGCCCTTCAGGCCTGTCACACTTCATAGTTGTGCCATTGCTTGCATTCCAAAGTGGGGGTGGGAACTGTGTCCCGCTGAAAACTTTTGGACACCTCCTTCTGACGAGAGCGCGAACCGGGGGAGAGTCATTGCCCTAGGTTGGATAGTTCCTTTATTAGTGGTTTGCAACATGTTTCCATCAGAGGACTCTCAACCAGTCCGCGACCAACAAACCTAGAACATCCTCTCCCATACTTCAAGGGGGAATCTAAGGGTGCAGACGGGGGAGCTGGGGAAGAAGTGTGGATGCCCTAGTTATAGCCATCCTCATTCTGTTCGTACTCCCTTGTAACCGTAGGTCTTGTCCGGACACAGAAAGCATCCACACACTGCTGACTCCGGAAAACGCTCGCTCTGGAAAACACGAACTATGGTCCCCTGATCTCCTGCATTATGTTTGTTACTGTACTTTCACTTGGGGGACCCTAGGTTCGTGTTCTGTGCATGTGTCGCCGAGAGTATACAGTCGCCCTGTTCTTTATCCTTAACAATGAAGCTTTAGCATCTGTTGTGACTTATACTCGCTCTTCACACCCCTCTCCCGCAAAACATTTGCGGGTGGGCTACTCAGCCCGGGGGTCTTGACCGACCCCCATGCACGGGAGAGAGAGAGAGAGAGAGAGCGAGCC